TATATAAAATATTTAATGTTGTTTTAAGTTTTCAAGGTTTCCAAAAATGTTATTTTCCGTTTAAATATCAAATTTCGCACTAATTAGAACTTAACATGAAATGTCTGTAAAAAAAAAATGTTTAACATAAGTTATTTAATTAGTCAGGTCTTTTTTTTCACACTCTATATAATTCAAAATCCACCGAAAACCTAACCTGTCTCAATTGATTAATTCATGGTACCACAAAAACTATCATATTATTATCGTTCCATTATAAATATGTCAACGTTAGAAAAAAATTATGTATGAATTAATCGTTATCGATCGTATTTTACCAGTTTTACCTGATACATTTAAGGGATGGAAACCTAACTAACGTAGGTTAATTATATAATTACTTAGGTTCTACATTAAATGTTTTTTGTATTATTTATAATCATTGTTTTTAAATACTTACATCCCGAGTAAAGGAAATAATGCATTTTCATTAGTAGTAGCTTTTTATTCACACTTATCAACCACATTTCGAAGCGTTAATTTATATTAATATCCTGTTAAATAAACACAATAAAAACCATTATAATATATATTTTACTAGACGATGTAATAATATATAATAGATTATTATTTATAAAGAACAAAATAGGTAGGTATTATACATTCATATATGATTACGATTAAATAATAGATATTAATATTGTTCAGATTGAATATTGAGAATAATGTAGTGTGKAAATTGTAAGTATTAGGTACCTACCTATAATTATTATAGTTATCAATATCGACAAAATTTTACATTCACCAGATAATGTAATTTATGTTGGGACTTGGCAATATAATCAGCACTATAGTGATAATCTATTACTATATAGGTAATCAAATATAATTTAAAAAATATCATAATTCTATCACGATTTATATGAATAGTGTTCGTTAGGTAATTATAATAATTAATTCAATAAACAAATACAAAATAAACAAGTATTAACGTTTTAAGTCCATGGTCAGTGTTTAAACCAAATCATCTATTATTAAATTAGTTGTTTCTAATAAATTATCTTAGTTTTACCATTGATTATAAATACAACAGATTTATTAATAACAGAATTCATAATCAATGGTTTTAATAATAAAAAAAACGATTTATAATACAGTGGTCATTGCTTATTTGATTCATTCGCCTATTAGATTCAAAACAGATGATCCTGATTTGCATGTATACTAACACACAGAAAAAGTATTTATTAGGTTCACACACCGCGGTTAATATAGTCATTTTGAACCAAAGAGAGAATGTCCAATCAAATTTGGATGGGGTTTTTTTTGTCAAAAATGAATTAGGTGCCTAAAGGTTATTACAAAATTTTGAATAAAAAAAAATGTTTCTATTAAATAACAATACATCATATTATTACTATGCATTTAATTACACGATTGTTGAAATCTCAAAAAATATTATTTTGATAAGTAAGTATGTATTTTTAAATTTTGTCGGGACCTTTTATCTAATATTGACTAATTTGGATTAACTGACTCGAATGCCCTGGTCCAAAAATAAGTCTAATAAGCGACGACTACTGTAGATATATATAAAAAAAAAAAAAAAATAGTAATTTAACAAAAATATAAAATAGGACATTACTTTAGATGCGTAGGTAGTGAATCTTCTTATTTAGGCACTTTTCGGTGAAGTTAARCTGTGCTCCTTGTCGTTATGAATTCCAAAATAGATCAAACCACATTGAGTTTTTATTTTTTAACACCATAGTGTCGTAGAAACATTCCTTTCTTAGATTTAAGTAATATTGTTATCGCAATGAAGTTATCAAGACGTGATTACCTAATTACGAAAATAGGTACACAACAATCTACTACAGTTAATTTTCCACCAGTATTTTATTTGTTCTCATTTTTTGCAATTTTTAAAAGCTCTTATCGTATAAATTACATAAGTGAAGGTTAACGATAAAATTAGTTTCCTTCTTTATTTTAGAAATTATATTATAATGTAGATTATTGAATAATATTCTTTAATGTATACTTGTGCACCTAAATACCTGAATTCGATATACTTTAAAATTTGCAACATATTATACTACTACAAAGTATTATTTCATATTATGAAAAATTATAAATTATTTTTTTCGTATTTATTGATAATAACATGGCACCACACAAAATATATTATAATATTATCTATGTATCTAGTATTAATACAATACGGTGAAACAATACCATTATTGTTCTATACAAAAGGATAATATACAAAGTGTTGATACTGCCAGTTATTTATATTGTTTTCGCATCTCACACGTGTAAATTAAATTATCAATGCAAACAAAATAGCGGGGCCTGGTGAGGTTCGGTGGTGAGCCTAAGTCACTAACGTGTTAGTTGAGGTCGCTAGTTCTCGGATGGGTGACCACACAAGTTTTTAGTGACGAATCCTCACCTCACATACACGAGTTCTTCTAACAACCGTTACCTGCACCCTTCCATTTATATTAATAACTATGATTATTTATTATATTGTTATAATAATTATAGTGATTATAATACTCACATATTTTATAAAACAATTCTAAGCAAACTTAACTAAATATGTCCGACAATCGAAGGTAAATATAAAATAGGGCGGGAATGATGAAAAATACGTAAARCAAAATAAATATGATCATTGACCACATAGATCCACCTAAATCTGTGGRTTTATAAAAGAGAATATAACTTAACATAGATATATAATTGCCTCACATTGTTTGTCTCTATCGCAGAAATGTTAGCTTTACCATTCGTAACAAAATAGCCATCAATCCTGRTCTATTCTATTTAATTTCTGTGTTACTAATATTTTATGAATAAAATAATAATGATAAGTCCCTGGAAATAGACCTACTACATTAGATATATGAAAGCAGTCTATCTGTTTGCCCGTCTCAAATCACCATTACTATTAATTAGCTAATTTGAACCATTAGTTTGCTATCTGTATGCAAATACTCTATTTTCAATTTAAAAAAAAACCGGATAAGTGGATGTTATTCTACTGTACAGTAGCTATATTACAAGTGAGTTACTGTAATAGATGGTATTACATTTGAATTCAACGATATAATGTCGTTGTATACGAAAAACAATTTTGAGTGGGGAGGTTTGTCAGTCTAAGATATTTTATAGTTTTTAACTATATTAATTGTATTGCTATTATTTAAGAAAAAAAAATGTCAGTACCTATAAAATAAATTGGACTGAGGTGATTGATATTTTAATTTCTTTAAGTTTATTTGTGTTTGGAATCTCCACATAATATGTCTTATTTTAAAATTATTTCTGCAGCAGTGTGAAAATTATGTTAAAAATTGAAACAGGTTTATTATAGTATAAAATATATTCAATATTGTATACAATAATATATTTATTAAATCATTATTACTCACTATTAATGGGTGTGGTAGCAGTGTAGCACAAATTATTTTATAAATAAATAAATAATTAATTTGTTGCTTATCAAATTTTTTACAATTTAATTTTAAACCTAAATTAATTTACAAAATGAATTATATTATTTTTATTTTAAGGTTTTCATATTATTTGACTTATTATTTAACTTAATAAATATTACATGGAGAATACCCATCATTAGTGAGCCATATGTAAATAATTTAAATGTCTGCTTTCCTCCATATGTTTGGTACAAAGAACCACCGACTAAACCACCAATAGATGTACCTAGAAACAACATTAAAAAAAAAAAAAAAAAAAATATTAGTAAAATTCAGATATTTTAGCATAAAAATATTGATAAATATAATGAAATTTATGATTTTGATTTCTAAAATTAAAAAAAATTGAATTAATAAGTTAGTTAACCAACAATAATACGTTTTTAATAAACAATACAATGCAAGTTTAATAAATGAGGGCTTTACAAATATCTCTGTTTAGCACTAAAACGGAAGGGTACATTTTGGCCGAAAACGGTGACGCCCACAAAAACGATGTACTCGTAATTTGAAAACAACCATTATATACTTCCTAGTACGATTAAAATAGTGATCGTGATCAGGATGGTTACCCTCAAGTAAACTGCGTAATGGATTAGGTGGTGATTGCAAGGGATCGTATCGGATTATAGCACATGCCAAGTGTTTCACCTATCCACTTGAGTGTTACAAAATTTAAATTTTTAGTTTATAGTGTCAATGTTATTTTTATAATCAATTTTGGGATCATCTGCTAGACTAGATAATTTTTAATTTTCTATTTGCGCGAACGATTTTAAGTAAGAACTCCACGTTTTTGCACTCATGAAGGTTTTGTGATTCTCTATTTCTATATTTCTCCATTTCTCTTGATATTTTCTTACTACTTCATGATTGCCGCAGGGATTGGTTGCTTTGTATTTTTTTATAGTATCTTTAAATTGGTTGCTTTGATTTATATATGTATATCCAGTGTTGAATCCAGGTATACTTCAGGGGGGCGTTTGCCCCCCCTGAAATTTCTTTCAGCCCCCTGACAAATACAACTTTCTGACTTTCAACAAAATGTACTTATTTATTAAATGCACAATACTAATTTAAATATAAATAATTAATAGGTTTCTAATTTATTTTGTAATTTTTTCAATATTCATAATTTCTGAATTGTAATAAATTATAATAATACAAT